GCAGCAACGAAGACCCAACTCAGTCAAAAGTAAAATAAATAAAATAAATACACTTTTTTTTTTAAATGCACAGAAGACGTTTCTCCAAAGACATACAGATGGCCAATAGGCACATGAAAAGATACTCAACATTGCTAATTATTAGAGAAATGCAAATCAAAACTGCAGTAAGGTACCACCTGACACCAGTCAGAATGGCCATCATTAAAAAGTCTACAAATAACAAATGCTGGAGAGGGTGTGGAGAAAAGGGAACCCTCCTACACTGTTGGTGTGAATGTGAAGTGGTGCAGCCACTATGGCAAACAGTATGGGGGTTCCTCAAAAAACCCAAAATAGAGTTGCCATATGAGCCAGCAATCCCACTCTTGGGCATATATCTGGAGTAAACGATAAGTTGAAAAGATACATGCACCTCAGTGTTAATAGCAGCACTATTTACAACAGCCAAGACATGGAAGCATCCTAAGTGTCCACTGACAGATGAATGGATAAAGAAGATGTGGCACATGTATACAATGGAATACTATTCAACCATAAAAAAGGATGAAATAATGGCATTTGCAGGGACATGGATGGACCTAGAGATGATCATGCTAAGTGAAGTAAGTCAGAAAGAGAAAGACAAATATAACGTTACCCTCCCCTTGAAACACCTGGCGCAGCTTCTCTTTTCCTAACCCCCAGGTCAGTAGCAAACCAGTTAGTTTGCCCATATTTTCTATACTCCAGGCAGTTTGCTAGACAAGGGTTGTGGGTGAGCAACGGAACATCAAACACCAGCCTTGTTCTCAAGCAGCTCACAGTCCAACAGGGATGACAAAATGTGCCGCAGCAGTTCAATTCCAAGCATTCTGAGGCTTTCCCTGCAGTGGGAGTACCCTGTGGACCGTGGATCCCGGCGGGGACAAGTCCAGTCCCCAGCCACTGCCAGGACGGCAGCCGCCAGCCACTGTGCCATCCAGCTCACAGAAGAGAGACTACGACTTGGGCCTCAGTTGTGTCGTCTGGAAAGGGGGCATCGCTTGGTGTTACTCAGATTTGAAATCCTGGGTGTGAACTGCCTACCACAGGACAGGCACGTCGGGTGCGGTCTGTGCACAGGAGCAGGACTCTGGGAGCTGGTAGTTGCCCCTTAGAACGGCACCTGGCTCACAGCAGGCACTTAGGAAACATTGGCTCCCCATGGTAAAGGCACTCACAGAAGACTCCAGGGGCCAGGAGAAGGGAGGGACCATGCTGGCGCATCTCTCCTGGAGCTGGGGGTTTGAGGTGGACCCAGGCGGGGGCGAGGGTTACTTGCTTGCTTGGGAATGTGTCATCAAGTGTGTAGACAGCTCTGGGGGAAAGGCCTCTGCAGCAGGTCTTGGCCTGAGCAGAAGCTTCCAGGCCTGAGCAGAGGAAGGCTGGGTGGCTTTGGGAATTCTCTGGCTGGCCAGTGGTTTTTTTGTTTGTTTGTTTTTGTTTTTTGGCTGCGTTGGGTCTTCAGTGTTGCGCGTGGGCTTCCTCTAGTTGCGGCGAGCAGGGACTACTCTTCGTTGCAGTGCGTGGGCTTCTCATTGCAGTGGCTTCTCTAATTGGGGAACAGACTCTAGGCGCGTGGGCTTCAGTAGTGGTGGTTCGTGGGCTCTACAACACAGGCTCAGTAGTTATGGCGCACGGGCTTAGTTGCTCCGTGGCATGTGGGATCTTCCTGGACCAGAGATTGAACCGGGGTCCCCTGAATTGGCAGGCGGATTCTTAACCGCTGCGCCACCAGGGAAGTCCCCAGGCCAGTGGATGTGACTTGGCACTTTCACTGCCAAAGGCCTGGATTCAATCCCTGGTCAGGGAAATAAGATCCTGCAAGCCTCACAGCACCGTCCAAAAAACGCCTCTTTTGGCCCTTGGGGTTCTCACCCCAGAGAATGGGCCTCATGCAGGGCAGGGCTGGTTCCAGCAAGATGTTCTTAGGGCAAGCAAGTCCTGGGGGATAGGACACCCCCTTCGAGGGCGCACTGCAGGTGCAGCTACAGAACCTTCCATTCCAGAATCTGCCCCCGCTATCCCAGAGCCTGCCTTCCCCGTGCCAGTCTATGGTTGTGCAGCTGTGTTAGCCTCCCACCCCGAGTTCTCAGTCCTGGGCCCTCCCGTGTCTCTGCCCCAGTCCCAGGAAGACTTCAGAAACTCGGCTGCAGCCTTGAGGGGGCGCAGGTCCCAGCTGGCCTCCTGCAGCCCCATCACCCCTGTCCCGCTAACAGGTCAGGCCTCAGTCACGCCTCCCGTCCCCCATCCCCAAGGCCCTGCGGTGAGCTGGATGGCCCCAACCCCTTCTGCAGTGCCCTGACCTCCGGAAGGTCAGACCAGACCTTCATGGACCAGAGAGCCTTCATGGAGCAGGTATGCGAATGCAGGGACAACAGCTACCTGCCTTCCTCCAAGAAGATCGGCTCTGGGGCCTTCTCCAAAGTCTACCTGGCCTATGCCACGCAGGAGCGCACACAGCACAACTCCAAGCTGGCCTCTGACCTGCGGGGTACGTGCCACACCACAGAGAGGCAGGCCACCTCCTCCCCATGGGGTGGGGGATCCGTGGTTCACCCTCCAGCCCAGCCCTGAGGCCCCTGTCCTAACCCCACTCAGGCACTTTCCAGGTGCTCTGGCCCCCTCCTGGTCCTGCATCCTCCCTGAAGGCCAAGGCTCGGGCAGGCTGATCACTCCCAGTTCCTGGACCCCTTGAACACATAAGTGCCTGGGACAGGAGTGAGCAGGAGACCAGAGCTGCTCCCCAAGGACGCTGCTCACCGAGCCTTGCCCCGGCCAAGTTCAGCAACATGCACAAAGGCCACAGGGCCTGTTCTGCCACATCCCGCCCCCGAGGGGCTCTGGTCTTCGCACAGTGGCCACCCTCCACTCCCGCAGGTGGCTATCAAGATCGTCTCCACCGCTGAGGCCTCTGTGGAGTTCTCCTGCAAGTTCCTGCCCTGTGAGATCTCGTCACTCAGTGCTACCTACAAGCACCTGAACGTGGTGGGCAGAGACCCCAAGACATCCTGGTCCCCTCCTGCCCAGCCCAGGCCTGCCGCCTTCCCCTCCTGGGACCCTTACGCTCGAGCCCAGCCCCATCCTGAGACCCCAATCCAGTGCACCTGACGGCCCCTCCTCGGGGTGATGGCAGGCGGGCGGGATCCAGTAGGTGCAGCTCTACGAGACCTACCGGAACAGCTGGCCCGCCTACTTGGTGCTGGAGCCAGCGGCCCGTGGTGACCTGCCGGAGCACATCAATGCCGTGTCCAACGACTGCCGCTGCCCGGGGCTGGAGCAGGGGGCCCACAGGCTGTGCCGGCAGCTAGCCAGTGCTGCGGCGCACTGCCCCAACTCAGGCATGGCAGTTGAGGGCGCCGCCCAGCCCACCCGCCCACCACATGGAGAGAGCCGCCTGAGCTCAGGCCCAGCCTCACCTCCGCTTCCCCATGCAGGGACCTAAAGTGTGAGAACATCCTGCTAGATGACCGAGGCTTCCTAAAGCTGAGCGGTGAGCCTGCGGCCCAGCCCGCAACCCTGCCCCCAGCCTGCGCCAACTGACTGAGGTCTTCGACTTCTGAGGGCCACACATTCCCCACTCTCGCCCCAGCCAGGCACCCAGTGTCTACACTGGCTTGCTCCAAACTTCTGACCCCAGTCTGCCTTGTCCTTCAATCCCCCTAGGAGGCCTACACCCCACCCTCGCCCAGAGCCACACTTGCAGTCGCCCCACACACCCCATGCCCACCACAGGAGCCCACTTACACCCCGTCCCCCCCCGCCCTCCCTGTATGCCTCCTGCAGACTTCGGCTTTGCCAATCGGTAGGGGCTTAAGAACTTGCGGCTGAGCACCTTCTGCGGCTCTGTGGCCTACACAGCCCTGGAGGTCCTCACAAGCAAGTACAGTGGGGAGCAGGCTGACCCGTGGAGCCGGGGAGTGCCACCTCACAGGCTCCAGGACCCCTAGGGAGGGGAGGGGAGGGGAGGGGAGGGGGCACGCCCTGGGAAGCCCACGCCCCCAGAGGTGTCATCCTCTACGCCATGGTGACCGGGAACCTGCCCTTCAAGGAGCGCCAGCCCCACCGCATGCGGTACCTGATGCGCCAGGGCCCCACCTTACGGCCAGGCCTGTCCCCAGGTGAGCGCCTCCACCCTGTGTCCCTCCCCGGTCCCAGCCCGCACCCAGGTGGGCGGCAAGAGAGAGCTGGGTCCAGAGAGGTGGAAATGTGTTGGTGGCCCCGCTAAGCCTGAACCCTGCGCTAGCCCAGGGCAGGGCGCCTCACCTCTCTCTGCCTGTCTCCCCACGTGTGAAACACGGACACCCTACGGCCGTTTGGGAAGACTGAACGGGATGACACCTCCAAGCTGCCAGCATTGTTGGCCGTGATGGCTGCGGGCTGGGGCGCGAGAGGGCAGTGGCACCTGTAGGCCGCATCCTTGAGCCCTCACCTGCAGAGTGCCAGGACCTGATCCGAGGCCTGCGCCAGCTGTGCCCGCGAGCGCGCCTGGGCCTGCAGCAGGTGGCCGCGCAGCACGGGAGGCTGCCCGCCGCACATACGCTCTTCCGCACCGTGCTCGGCGGCGTCACACCAGGTGCTGCATGCCCACCAGTGTGGGCAGGTGGGCAGCTCCTCAGCGCCCCACCTGACCCTCCCACTCCGGTCAGTTGCAAAGAAGCCCGAGGAGTCTGAGCTCCCAATATCCCCGGACAACGTGGAGCCCCGCGCGGACTCAGATCCCCCAAGGCCGCTCCTGCACCTGCGGCGACCCCAGCAACAGTGCACCCCCCTTGAGAGTGCCTCTGGTCCGGCGCCCGAGCCCACGGAGTCTCCCCCGAGACGAGGTGCGACCCTGCCGGGCTGGGACTCTGGAGCACGGAGACGGCCAGTCGCGCGGTGAGCCCCTCCAGGCGTCCGCTGTCGCCACGCTCCATGTCTGCCATCCGGACCGTGCCTGGACACTACTTGGTTAACTGAGGGCGGGCGGGACGGTGGGGGCAAGGCCAAACAGAGCGTTTATTCTGTGGAGCCAACGGTGTGGACTTCTCAACGCGGGAAGAGGGCCGCGGGCCTTGGGACATCTGGAAAACAGTCCACACACCTCCAGGCCAGAGCTTTCACTTATCTGGGGGGAGGGAGGGAAGAGAGAGGGGACCGCAGAGGAGGGAGGCACCCGGCACCCATGAAGAAGCCAGCCTTGATGGGTGCGCCAGGGGACGGTCTCCAGCTTTGGAGGGTGGTCAGGGGAAAGACGAGCCCAGGGCAAGGCTGCAGGCACATCAGGCACTCTCAGCTCGGCAGGCGAGGGGCTCTGGGGAGCTGAGGCTCAGGCAAGCTGACCAGCGAGAGGGCCTAGCTAGCGGGGGAGAGCAAGGGCATCAGCTCAGTCCAGGACTGGGAAATAGGACTGGAGGAGCTTGCAAAGAGCGGAGGGCAGGTTTGGGCACAGGTCAAGTGGAAAGGTGGGGAGCATGAAGGGGAGGCAACGCCCAGCAAGTGCTCCGAGGACAGGCCACAGGAGTGCAGCCCTGGCTAGACCCCACGACAGGCTGTGGCTGGTGAAAACCTCAACAGGTGAGCCCTTTGAGGCTGGGTCTCAGGCAGGGCCCCAGGATGGAGGGGCCTGGGGTGGGACTGGTACCAAGGGGCACTGCAAGCACCTGGGTGCCCCCCTATGCCCAGACCCCCGTAGCACCGTTGGGACTGGGAAGCTCCAGCTAGCCCCTCGGGCTTGCAGTGTTTTTCGGTCCGGCCCTGCTGGCCAGCCCCGTGGAGATACCTGAGCAAGTCACAGGGTTGGGCCAGCTCTGGCTGAACAGTCCTCCTCTGAGCAACCAGCCTTCTTGCTGGAGCCAACAGGGCACAGGGAGGCACCCTCAACCCTCAGCAAAGACCTGGAGCTTAAGAACAGCTCTGCTTCTCAGCAAGGCACACCCTCAGAGCCAGGGGACCCAGAGGCCTGCGGGCGGCTGCACACAGACCCGGTCTGGGAGGCCTGGACAGATGGCGAGCAGAGGTGGGCCCAGGGCTGGCGGCAGGCTTCGCGGGCCTCAGGTGGGTGCAGCTCCCTCTGCGCGCATCTCTGGGGCCATAGCTCCAGCTGCTGCCGCACCGCTCGCGCTGCTCTGCTCCTGGCGGTCCTGCTGCTGCAGCTGTCGCTCAATATCCTCAGGTACTTGCACCTCCAGCAGGTTTTCCATGCCATGCTCTGGCTCATCCCCAATGAGGACCTGCCAGCAGGGCAGGCAGGGGAAGCAGGTGAGCAGCTGGCTGGCACACTGTGGACATCCACCACTCCCCCAACCCTGCACCCACCTGGATGAGTTTCTCACAAGTCACCCGCACATCGGGCTCTGGCTCCCAGTTGTGCAGCTCGCGCAGGATCAAGTAGGCTCCCTGGTCCCTCACCTGCTTCCGACCAGGTGCCGTGGCCGTCAGCTGGGAGAGGGCAGAGATTATCCAGACATCAGTGTGCTAATATGTAAGTGTGTGGGGGTGACATTAATGTAGCAGCACGCCGGCTCACCAGCATGATGGCCTCAATGAGCATCTTGCGGATGTCGGCATCAGGATCTCGCTGCTTGTCTTGTGGCAGGTATTGCAGGTCAACGGGCAGCCCTAGGAGTGAATTCACTGGGTCCCTATGCTGGCCCCTGGTCTGCTAGGCAAGACCCTGCCATTGTAAGGCCCATCTGTGTTCAGCAACTCCCTGCTAGAAGGTTTCAGAAGGGGCCCTGATCTGGACACTTCCTTCTGCCTTTCCCCCACTGGCCTCCCCTCCTGCCAGACCAACCCTGAGGCTCGACCCAAGCCACTCACGCTCCATCTCCTCCTCGGAGAAGTCCTCAGGCCCAGCCAGGGGCAGTAGCAAGTAGGGGAGAATGTCCACCTCAGGCCCAAGCAACCACTCATGGTGTCCTGGGGAGAAACAGGAATGGAGGCCAGTCCAGAGGGGCCCCAGGGTCCAGTCTATTCCTCCCACTCCCCGACACGGCAACTTCCTCACCACCACTCACGGTGCTCGAAGCAGCAGTTTCGCAGTGTCCCCACCACCCCGCCCCTGCGCACCGAGGAGTCCGGGTATTGGGTAAGGGGCAGCAGCCGCTGGACCACGCACCTGGAGGGAAAAACCACTCAGTGACGTCCCTGCTCATTTCCACGCCCTCCCCGCGAGCGCCCTGGGCTTCACCTGTCGTGATTCAGCAGGAAAGCGCGCGTCGCAGGACGCTGGCTGAGGTTGGAGAGCATCGGCCCCAAGTAGTGCAGGGGCGCGCGGGCGTTGTAGCCGGGAGTGCACAGCGCGAGCACCAGCCGCTCCAGGCCCGACTCCCCGGGCTCAGCGGCCGCCAGCGCCGCCATCAGCGCAGTACATGGCATCGGCTCGCGGCTGAGGTTAGCCAGCACGGCGGCCGCCTCCTCGGCCCAGGGCCACTGTGGGTCCAAAGCGCAGCCCAGCAGGCGGGCAGGTAGTCCGGGCTCGGCCGCCAGCAGCGGCTCGTGTAGACCAGGGTCGGCGGCCAAATTGACTAGCGCGCGAGCGGCGTCTCGGGCCGGGGCGGGAGGAGGGGCCACCGCCAGCTCGACCAGAGCCCGCAGCAGTGCCGCCTGGCCGGCCAGCAGCGTGCGACCGGGCCCCGAGCCGGTCAGCGCCAGCACATGCTGCGCCGCCGCCGCCTGCAGGTCAGCCCGCGCCCCGAGCGCCAGGAAAGGCAGCAGCTTCGCCGCCTCCGCCTTCGGGCCGGCCTCCACTATCGGCGACCCTACGGAGGCGAGGCCACCGGCTGACCCACCCACGACCCCTTCGTCCTCCCGCATGCTTGTCGGCGTGCTCCGCTGCGCAAGCTCAGCTTTGCGATGCGCCTACAGGTGGGCAGCGGCCCCGCTCACCAGGGTACCGGAAGCCCCGGTGACCAATCCGAGGCTACCGACTCCGCGCAAGGGGCGGGACCGGCGCGCGGAGGCGGGGCCACGCCAAGGCCCGGGGGATTGTGGGATTGGTTGCCGGCCAGAAGCCGGGGACCTCGGGCTCTGCGCGGTGGTGGGGGTCGTGCAGGGACAAGCTTTGGGCCCCGGCATGGCACCGTCCCTTGGGGGTCCTGCCAGCCGCTGATAGCAGACCGATTACATTCCCTCTTCCTTCATGATTGGCAAACATCCGTCTTCGCGGGAAGAAAAGCAGGATCAATTACAGTGATTGCCTTTCTAGTGTATCCCTGGCATACTCTCCGTTTGATCGTGATATATTTTCGGTTTTATATATGGTTGTATTCAGTTTAAGAAAAAAAAAATTTTTTTTAATTTTTGGCTGTGTTGGGTCTTTGTTGCTGCGCGCGGGCTCTCTCTAGTTGCGGCGAGCGGGGGCTACTCTTCGTCCGGGTGCGCGGGCTTCTCATTGCGATGGTTTCTCCATCTCGGTGCGCGGACTCTAGGCGCGCGGGCTCAGTAGTTGTGGCGCACGGGCTTAGTTGCATCTGCGGCATGTGGGAATCTTCCCGGACCAGGGCTCGAACCCGTGTCCCTTTCATTGGCACGCGGCTTCTTAACCACTGCGCCACCACGGAAGACCTTATTGGTCTTGTTAAAGAACCACCTTTTGGATTCATTTCTTTATTGTTTTCTTTTTCAAGTTTATTGATTTCTACTTTGACCTTACTGTTTCCTTTCTTCTGGTTACTTTGAGTTTAATTTACTGTTCTTTTTCTAGTTTCTTAAGGTAGAAGCTGAGGTCATTGATTTGAAACCTTTCTTCTTTTCTAATATAGGGGTTTCCCCACAATTATTACCTGACTCATGGGTTATTTGTTATGTACTTTACTTTTACATAGGTTATAAGCCTCTTAATAGATATTATTTTTGTTTCACACTAAGGGCTAGGACAAAGCCTCTAGGGGCAGTGATGCCCAGAAGAGCCACTTACAGGGAAAAATATGGCCCTGAAGTCAGGAGGTCATAACGTCCAAGAGCCGGGACTTGCCCCGCCTGAGACCCATAGCCTCAATCCCAACCTAAACTTTCCTGAAAGTCCCATGGAAATTGAGGAAGAGGATGGATGAGTCCAAGGACGTGCCACCTCTCCAAGGCAACCACATGCTCGGGACACACAGATCCCGGCCAGGCCATAAGAGTTGAAAATTCCTCAAGGTATGGAATTAGAATATTGTGGATAACCTAGGTAAATGATGCCCTCTGGTGGGTACTTTTGACTGAGACAGAAATGTGCACCTTCAGGGCCCACTTGCGTGAGCAGGGGACTAATGAGCAGGCCCGTGATTTGACTGCATCAAGGATGTGTTTACAGTAATCAGCAGCTAGGGAGCCTTAAATATGCCCACGGTGAATTAAAAGATCCAAAGTGTTTGGAAGTGATTTCAAAGTTAAAGGTACAAGAACTGTACAAAGAACCCCCTTATAGCCTTGACCCAGAGACCTCAAATTCCCAGGTCACCCCTGTAATGACCTTTGTCTCACCTTTTGTGTCCAGGTGGGAACAGCTCTTCATGCCCTTGACACAGACCACCGGCCAGCTATTGTGGAGCACGTTCCTCGATTTGTATTTGTCTGGTTGGCTCCTGATTAGATTCAGGTTGTACATTTCTGGCAGGAATGCTCTGGAGGAAATCCTGGGTTCTTTTCATCCTGTCCAATCAGGTGGCACAACGTCAGTGTGTCTCAGCGCGGGAGAGGCTTATTTTGATTACTTAATTATGATGGAGTGGCCTAAGCTTCTTCCCTGTCAGGTTACTCTTTTTCTTCTTGTATTTAATAAGTATTTTATGGGGGGATACTTTGAGGCTATGTAAACACTCCTTTCCTCATCCACCTTTCACTCCCTAGTTTTTGCATGTATTGTTTTTTTTCTTTGAATTAGTTATTACTGTGATGGTTTCCAAATGGCTATTTTCTAATTTTATCATTTATTGTAGGGAAAAAAGCTTTCTCTTTACTTATTTATGTCAATGAAGTCTCATGGATTCCTAGTTTATTCATAGAAATATAATACTTTACTGTCATTATTTTGATCCTCAGTTTGGCCAGTGGAAGCCCCTTTAAGGAGGCTCCTGTGTGTTTTTATTTATTTATTTTTGAAATTTATTTATTTATTTATTTTTGGCTGTGTTGGGTCTTCGTTGCCGTGCGTGGGTTTTCTCTAGTTGCGGCGAGCAGGGGCTACTCTTGGTTGCGATGTGCGGCCTTCTCATTGTGGTGGCTTCTCGTTGCGGAGCACAGGCTCTAGGCACGCAGGCTTCAGTAGTTGTGGCATGTGGGCTCAGTAGTTGTGGCGAGCTCTAGAGCTCAGGCTCAGTAGTTGTGGCGCACGGGCTTAGTGGCTCCGTGGCATGTGGGATCTTCCCGGACCAGGGCTGGAACCTGTGTCCCTTGTATTGGCAGGCAGATTCTTAACCACTGTGCCACCAGGGAAGCCCTTCTCTGTTTTTTTGGGGTTTTTTTTAATTTTTAAATTTTGTTTTATTTTTATTTATTTATTTTTGGCTGCGTTGGGTCTTTGTTGCTGTGCGTGGGCTTTCTCCAGTTGTGGCGAGCGGGGGCTACTCTTTGTTGTGGTGCGTGGGTTTCTCATTGCGGTGGCTTCTCTTGTGGAGCATGGGCTCTAGGCACGCGGGCTTCGGTAGTTGTGGCACGTGGGCTCAGTAGTTGTGGCTTGTGGGCTCTAGAGTGCAGGCTCAGTAGTTGTGGTGCACAGGCTTAGCTGCAATGCGGCATGTGGGATCTTCCCGGACCAGGGCTTAAACCCGTGTCCCCTGCATTGGCAGGCGGATTCTTAACCTCTGTGCCACCAGGGAAGTCCCTTCTGCATGTTTTTTAAAATAGCTTTATTTGAAACCAAACAGGACCCTGTAGGGCCTTCCTGGGGAGAGACACCCGCCACGTCCCACCACCTCTAGCCTCCTAGGCTGTCCCTGAGTTCCAAAGAGCAAATTGAATCAGAGAAGTGGGAAAACGTAGCAAAAAAGAGAGAGCAGTCTAGACAAAGTAATAATAGTTTAGCCATAAAACAAAGTCAAGGACCTTTAGTTGTACTTGAAGGCTACAGATAATATCCTGAGCCATATCCTTGAGTGGTTTTGCAGATACTAAAGCCCCCAGCAGGTGGAAGAAGTTAACTGCATGCTGACCACCAGCACTTAGACCGCAGAAAACTGATAATTGAGATTTCCGAAATACCTAGTACCCTGTTACCTCACCATCAACCAACCAGAGAACTGTGCACGAGCTGATCACAAAACCCATGACACTCTCCCTCACACTGTCATTAAAAGCCATTCCCTGAAAGCCACTGGGGAGTTCAGGTCTTTTGAATATGAGCTGCCAGCTCTTCTTGATTGGCGCCTGCAATAAACGCTGTACCCTCCTTCACTACAGCCCAGTGTCAGCAGATTGGTTTCACTGTGCATCAGGCAGGCAGACCCAAGTTCCGTTCGGTAGCATATTGAGATGTAATCCACATACAGTACAGATCATCCATTTAAATTCAGTGGTTTCTGGTGTGTTACATTAACTGTTGTAAACGGTTGTAAAATACATGTAACAAAATTGACCATTTTTTGGGCTGTGCTGCACAGCTTGTGGGATCTTAGTTCCCCAACCAGGGATTGAACCCTTGCCCTCGGCAGCGAGAGCGCCAAGTCCTAACCACTGGACCAACAGGGAATTCCCCCATTTAATTATTTTTAAGTGTATAATTAGTGGCATTAATCACCACCACAACATTCTGCCACCATCACCACTGTGTATTTCCAAAACATTTTCACCCCCCAGAGCAGAAACTCTAACCTCCCAACCCCTCCAGTGACCTCATGGCTATTTTCTGTCTCTACAAAGCTGCCTGTTCTAGGTTCTTCAGTGGTTACTCTTATGAGGCTATAATATAGTGTCAAAATGAAATTGTGTGTGTAGATTCGTGCCTCTTTTTTTTGTTTTTTTAAAGATTTATTATTTAATTATTTTATTTATGTTTGGATGCATCGGGTCTTAGTTGCGGCATGCGGGCTGTTCGTTGTGGTGTGCTGGCTTCTCTCTAGTTGTGGCATGCGGGTTTTCTCTTCTCTAGCTGTGGCACACAGGCTCCAGGGTGCACGGGCTCTGTAGTTTGCGGCACGCGGGTTCTAGTTGAGGCGCGCGAGCTCAGTAGTTGTGGCGCACGGGCTTAGCTGCCCTGCGGCGTGTGGGATCTTAGTTCCCTGACCAGGGGTCGAACCCACGTTCCCCGCATTGTAAGGCGGATTCTTTACCACTGGACCACCAGGGAAGTCCTTCCATGCCTCTTTATCCCTTGTGTAGATTCGTGTAACCAATATCACAGTCAAAATAGAGAATAGCTTCATCACCACAGAGATCTCCCTCCTGCTCTGCCCTCTCCTGCCCGTCCTTAACCCCAGGCAACCACTAGTCTGTTCTTCACCTCTATAATTTTGTCATCTCAGGAACGTTATCTAAATGGAATGTTTTGAGATTGGCTTTTTTCACTCAGCGTAATTATCTGGAGATTCATCCAGGTTGTTGCGTTAATAATTTATTTTTATTGCTGAGAAGTATTCCATGGTGTGGATGTGCCACAGATTGGCCAGCCATTCACCTGTTGAGGACCTTTGTGTCATCGCCAGTTTGGGGCTGTTACAAATAAAGCTGCTGTAAACAGTGGTGCATAGTATGGTTCGTGTGGACGTAAGTCCTCATTTCTCTGGGATAAATGCCCAGCAGTATGATTGCTGAGTCCTGCTTTTCAAGAAGTTGCCAAACTGCTTTCCAGCGTCTGGACCATTTTACATTCCCGCCAGCATCGTACACAGATCCAGCTGCTCCACATCTCCAGCATCTGGTGGCGTCCCTTTTTAAATCTGAGCCATTCTTAATTTACACTTCCCTAATGGATGGTGTGTGGAGCATCTTCTCATGTGCTCGTTTGCCATCTTCATCTTCTCTTGGGTGAAATGTCTGTTTTGTTTCTTTTGCCTGTTTTCTAAGGCTAAATTTTTATAATTTTACATTTACATGTATGATCTGCTTTGAGTTTTGTCTTTGCCATAACTTTTTTTTTTAATCAGCAAATATATCTGTCTTTTCTGAGTGTTCTAAGTTAATTATTTTTCTAAATTACCTTCTGATATATTTATAGTTTTATTTTCTACATTACAATCTTCATCTGAAAATTACTCTCATAAATGATGTGAGGAAGGGTTCCGGCTTTGTTTTCTATCTACCTACGCTGTGCTCAGCACTGTTCCTAAGTTCTTTACATATAACAATTCATTTAATCCTCACAGCAGTCCTGTGAGGTGTCATAGCATTATTATCCACATTTCATAGATTGGAAACTGAGGCTTAGAGAACACAGGTAACTTGTTTAACGTCACACAGTCAGGAAGTGGAAAAAAATATGTATTTATGTTTGCTATATATATATTTGGTATTTTAACATCTATGGTGGAAAGCCCATTCTAGCTTTTTGTACATTTAATTGGGTTGTGTGATTTTTTTTTATTAATTTGTAGAACTTCTTTATATATTTTGGAGACAAGCCATTTTTAGTTACATGTATTTCAAATATGTTCTCCCACTCTGTGGCCTGACTTTTTACTCTCTTAATGGTATATTTTCATTAATATATTTCCTAATTTTAAAAGTTATATATTAATACATATTAATAAATATATTAGTGTTTTCCTTCACGATTAGCGGGGATTTGGACCTGTTTAAACTCTTGCCCTACTTTCTCACGTTTGTATGTTGGTGGTTTTTTTTGGCTGCACCGCGTGGCTTGCGGAATCTTAGTTCCCCAGCCAGGGATCGAACCTGAGTCCTCGGCAGTAAAAGCGCAGAGTCCTAACCACTGGACTGCCAGGGAATTCCCGTGTCTGTATTTTTTAAAGCATTTATTGCTTCTGTAATTCGAAACATAGAAACACCAGTAGATGCAGACTACTACGGGCCTCAGTCCTTGTTGTAGCAGGTACAGTTCCTTTTATAAAAACGTCAAGTTTTTCAGTTATCTGGACCTGGCACTGCTGGCCCTCCTTGGCCTAGGAAAGAGCGGCCCACTCAGCAGCCCTGTGACAAGAGCCCCTGCGCAGGTTAGGGGCTGTGGGAAAGGTGTGGGAGACCAATTTTAACCACAAAGCCATTGAGCAGAAATGTGTAAAGTCAGAGGCTGAAAATACAGGAAAGAGATCGCTGCTCAGGCAACCCAGCAGCAGGATACAGAAAGCTAGAACAGGCCCGTCACAAAAGCCGTCCTAGTAAGTGCGCACGTGGGCTCCACGTGTGGTTGGGTCAGTGCCCTTTGAGGTCACGGCAGTTCAGAAGAAGGCCGAGGCCCCGAGACCCCGTGCTTCACAGACAAGGTGAATCTCCTGGTGACTTTTAGGTTGAAAGGTCCAGAGAACACTGCCCCTTTACTGCTTCTCGGATAAAGCAGACGGGGCCTCTTCATTAATTTTTCTCCTTTCCAGCCTAAAGGTAGCAAAGCTCCGACCGACTCCTGGTTTCACCTGCATCAAATGACTGCAAGCTCCTCCCCACACACCTGCGACCACCCAGACCCTCCCCTCTCCCCGGCCCACCCGTTAGTCTCCCCCTCCCCTCCTGAGCACCGTGGCTGAGTGCCTGAGCAGGGCCACGCCCGTGCGGTAGGTTCCCTCTCTGGGCAGACAGGCCCTCCCGCACCGAGAACGCTGCTCTACCACGTGCTGACCCGAGCCCAGACCCTGTCCCATCCCAGACCCCACCAGTCCCCCAGCTCCTGCCTCACACATGCAGCTGGCCACCAGCAGGTTCGTGACACACCAGCCAGACCCCCCCCTCGCCCACATCAGGGGCCCCCAAAGGTGAAAGTGAGCTGGCCGTGGCCTCTGGACTTTATTCGGGCCCTGGGCCTTGGCTGGGGTGAACAGCCGGCTGGAGAGCCATGTCCTGACTCCATGCTGGAGGGAAAAGGGAGAGGCAAGGTCAGGCCAGGGTCACCAGCCAGCTCAGCTGTATCTGTCAGGGTCCGTGTCATCTGGCAGAAAGTAGCGTTGCAGGGCAGGCTGCAGGAGCTGCGGGGGCAGCGGATGGGCCGGCCTGGGCCAGTCTGGGGGGAAAGGCTGCAGTTCCACCCGGGGCAGTGGCAGCTTCAGCATCCGGACGGCACCATCCAGGGTGCGGCCCGCCCAGAGCCGGGACAGCATTCGGCCTGGGGGCCAGCAGTATAGTGAGGCCTTGGGGTGGGGTCAGTGCTCCGCGGGAACTGGGCTGGGGTGGGGTAGAGGTCAGGTCCGATTTCTACCCCTGTCCCTACTCACCCCTCAGTTTCATTGGAGACCTCTGGACCTTGGCCTCCTGAAGCCGGAGGATGGAGTAGTGCCTGAAGGATAAGGAAGCGGGTTTGGCTAAGCCCACGCCTCAGCTGTTCCACACAGGCTCTGCCCTAGCCTCTTCCAGGGACCCGTGGCGTGCTCACTGGGGTTCCCGGGGCTGTGGCACCACCATGCTGGGCGTCCGTGGGGGCGGGCGAGGGGGCGGGGTCTTGGGCTCCTCCTGCAGGGGGTCCTGCTGCGGAGCCCCATGCTGCTCGCAGAAGAAGTTGAGTGCGTTGATGGGCCCCAGGTCCAGCATTTTTGACTGTGACCGGGTCGTCTGCTCCAGAGGCAGTGGCTCATCAGGCAGTGCAGCTGGCGCGGAGGATCCCAAGTGGGCCTCAGGCAAGGGGCAGAAGTGCGTCAGTGTCCCAGACAGTGCACGTTGGGTCCGCCCAAAGCGCATCTGTGCAAGCGTCTGCTGGGCCTGCAACTCCAGGGCGGCCAAGTCCGGCTCTCCGGGTGAGACCACCGGTGAGGGCGTCCGGGAGACGCTTGAGGGCATCACAGAGATATGAACAGTTGCCCCAGAGACCATGGAAATCTGCGACAGGGTCTCCTTCGAAGGAGGGTGAAGTGCTGAGGTCTCTGAGACCTCGGGCAGCATCTCTGACGACTTGTCTACAGATGGCGGCACAGTTTCCATCTGCTGGGGAGTTGGCCAGTGGAGGCTGGAGAGGTGCTGCCCATGGCTCCAAGCCTGAGACCCCACCCCAGACCCCCTCCTGGGGAGATGCAGGAAGATCCCGGGAGATGGGGGAGGGGTGAGGGATGGGGGAGGATGGAAGAGGCGCAGAGCCAGAGCGGGGCAAGGAGCCCGCTGGCCTCACCTGGCTCTCCCCTCTGCACTTGGGAAAAGCCTGGGGAGAAGGCGAGAGGCTCTGCGGGCAGGTGGCCCGCCCCCGCCCCGCCCCGCCCCCACTCCCGCCCCCGCCCAGACCTTCAGCTGCCCGACCATCTCCTCCAGCTTCTGGCAGCAGCGCTTGCGCAGTGCGGCCTTGGAGGCGCGCTCCGGGCCCTGGACCCAGGTCATCATCTCCTTGAACAGGAGGCCGTGCGGGTCCTGAAGGCCGAGTCCTTCCAGCAGCTTCCTGAGGTCCGGCCTGGGACAGGTGTACAGGCGTGGGAGGCTTCTGGGCGGCCTCCCTGGCAGCAGCGGGGAGGAGGGAGGGAAGGGAGCGGAACTCACCAGCAGGAGGCTGGCGAGTAAAGGACGTAGCACAGGAGCTCCAGCACCACCTCGCGGGACTCCAGGGAGCAGGCCCGGAGCAGCTGCAGCGCCAGCATCACAAACTGCTTCTGCATCCTGTCCTGAGCGCAGGGGGAGCGACACTGGGGCCCGAGGCCTGGGGTGGGGCGGGGCGGGGCGGGTCTCGGGACTAGGGGCTCACCTGGAGGCTGGGGGGCTGGTCCAGGTTGAGCAAGCGCACGAGGATGCCGTGCAGCCGGCTACAGAGGTCTCTGCTGACGTCGGGCAGCAGCCTCAGCAGCGCGTGCAGGATGTGCACACGGTCTGCCCAAGAGGCCTCGTCCAGCAGGTCCATGAACAGCGAGGCCAGGCCCTCCACCGTGCCCACCTCGGGGTACGCCTGCAGGGATCTGGTGCTGAGGCCTGGCCCCCTGCGCCGCACCCGGGCGCTCCAGCCTCCCCCTCCCGTACCTGAGCCCGTGCCTCCCAAACTCCCCCGAACCTGCAGAGTGAAGATGGGGAAGAGCTTTTTGAACCAGTTCTGGCCGACGAAAAAAAGCAGGAACCTAGGCAGATGCCCGCAGCGCTCTTCCCAGAGCGAGTGCCCGTAGTGGAACTGGGGGCAGTGAAGACAGGTCTCGGCCCTGGCGGTGTCCTCGCGGGAGCCCATGGGCTTCGGGATGCGACCCTCGGGGCTCTAGGGGCAGCGGCAGCAGCTGCAGACCCTGCCCGCCTCAGGCAGCTCCTGCGCCGCTGCCCAGCCCAGCCCCGGACGCCCACCTGAGCTTCCTGCTCCGGCAGCTGGTCGGAGAGCTGCGTGTGGCGGCGCTGCGAGTCCGAGGCCCAGTCCAGACCCTGCTCGCCCTCCTCCTCCCCCTCCCCTCCCAACAACTGGGTCAGCTTCTCCTGCCGCAGCAGCCACGGGTCGTCCCGGCTCCCTCCAGGCTGCGAAGTGGAGAGCGAGGCGTGGCCACGGGCGCGGCAGGGATCCGGCCCCGCCCCCTGCAGACCCCGCCCCGCCTCGCCCCGCCCCTTGCCTTGCTCTCGCAGCGGCGCGGGCCCAGGGCTCCGAGGCCGCTGACCTCCACAGGCAGCCACATCTGCTGCAGCACCACCGAGTTGGGCACGCAGCCCGGGAAGCGGATGGGCCGCCGCCAGTACTGCAGGTGGAGCACAGCGGGGCAGGTTGAGGGCCTGGACTCCACCTGCCCCAGAGACCACGCTGGCAGGGCACCCCCGCCACCAGCCCAGCTCTGCCCGCCTGACGTCCAAGAGCTGAGTGGGGCTCACACGCCCTGCCCACGACACACAGACAGGAGGAGAGAATCTCTAGAAATCAGGCCGAAGGGCAGGCAGTGAGTGTGGCATCAGCTGTGGTAACTGAGGACGGAGATCTGGGTAACAGCCGGCCTTTGGGGAGCCCTGACACCCACATGGTCTCCACAGGACTCAGCCCCCGGTCCTGGAGCAGAGACGCTGATAAGAAGGGGGCAGTAGGAGGGACTCCCTCGGCGGTCCACTGGTTAGGACTCCGTGCTTTCACTGCTGGGCCGGGGTTCAATCCCCGGTCGGGGAACTAAGATTGCACAAGGCACGCAGCGTGGCCAAAAAATAAAAAAAAAAAAGAAGGGGACAATGGGAGCTCGAGGGGGTGTTACTGGGGGCTTGGGTAGATGGAGTAGCAGCTGGAAGGATCCGTTACCCACCTGGGAAGGTAAGAATGCCAGATGTGTGGGGAGAAGGGGCTGGGCCTGTCTGGGCATCTGGAGGGGGAGAGAGTGGGAAGGCCGGCTCCCACCGACTCTGCTCCCCTCAAGGGAGGGGACTCTGGTCTCGCAGACAAAGTGCACAGAGGCCCCAGCCCCCCGACCCTCGCGCTAGGGAGTGGCTGCAGGAGCGACCGCTGGCAGAGGCTCTGGCTTCGCCTGGCTCCAGCTCCGAAGTCCCTGGCCCTCTGGCAGCCAGTTCCCGGAGTGAGGAGTTAGGGCACACGGAGAGCAGCGGCGGCAAAACCAGGCCCGGGGTGAGGGGTGCAGGTGGGCCTGGCCCTCGGGTCAGAGCTGGGCACAAAGGCTTACAGCAAAGGGGACATGGGGTACATAAGGAGGGCCCCCCCGGGGAGGGAAGGGCCTCAGGACAGCGAGGGGTCTCACCTCATAGGGCTGAACAGCGGCAGGGAAGAAGCCCCTGGGGTTGGAGAGATGCTCCTGGGGCCGCCTCTTCAGCAGCAGGGGGATCTGGGGATGGGACAGGGATCAGAGCCGAGTTTGGACTCCAGTGTCCCTGCAGTTCTGCCTTCGGGCAGCAGCCTCCACCCACCTGGGCCCCTCACCCTGTGCTGCAGGTGGGAGGACAGTGGATCCGGGGCCACAGGCTTCTCCCCGTGGAGCTGCTCCAACTGCAGCTGCAGTTGCAGACTAAGGCCCAGTTCGTGGCTCGGGGAGGAGCGGGCCAGCAGCTGGGGTGGAAGGAGTCGTCAGGGGGTGGGGTGGGGACCATAAGGTGAAGGCAGAGGGGTGGGAGTGGTGGTAAGCCTCACCTGGGGTGCTCTGCTGTGCAACCTCCGGTGGGTGGTGGGGGGAGGCAAGGGGACTTGGGGTGGTCGGGCAAAGCGCTGGCCCAGGGTCCCAAGATCCTGTGGTGGCGAGGCTTCAACGCCCCCGAGATCGGGGACGTCTCTGGGCAGGGCGCACACGTCCCAGGTCTGTCTCTCCACTGTGAGGGTCACGGTGCTCCACTGCTGGGACTCTCCTCCGGAATACCTGCCCTGGCAGGGAGGGCAGGGCAGACGGGCAGTGTCAGAGGCTCCGGGTGAAGGGAGGGACTGGGGAGGCCCCACACTCACCAGCAGACCAGGGCCATAAATCAGACGGAGGTAGTTATCAAAGGCCTCCTGGCACTGCTGCCAGGAGGGTGAGGGCCGGGCTGCAGGGCCCACCAGCCCCAGTTTCAGCTGCTGAAGGTCTTGGTCCCGGGCAATGAAGGCTTCCAAGTCCTGGGGTGAGGGTCAGGGGTCAGCGCATTCTTCCTTGAGCCTTGCTGCGTGCCCCTAGACAAGCACAGGGATCCCAGGCCTGGCCCAGGGACTGAAGGGGAAGGGCCTGAGCCGGGGTCGGGGGGCAGGGCTGGGCCACTGAGGTGGAGAAGGGGTCAGGAGCCACCCCACCTTCTCCAACACTGGCTGCTGAGGCGTGGCCGTCGGGCAGTGGATGAAAGACGAGGCTGCGCTGCAGACGGGGAAGGACACAGGTGGGACACTGGGTGGCATTACCAGTGGGATAGGGCAGAGGCTGGGCCAGGGACCCAGGGGTGGTGGCCAGGCCCCTGGCGGGGAACCACAAACAGCCAGGAGTGGGAAGGCCGGCACTGGGACGAGCTTGCGGTGGGTGGCCAAGGGGCCTGGGAGCCCTGGGGTCTCAGGTTGGGAGCACTCGGCCAGGCCCTGACCCAGGGGAGCCAGGTCGGGGCCTCCGGGACGGCTCGGTTGGGCCTGCCGGCAGACCTGAGGCTGGCCACCCCGCGCAGGCTGGCGAGCCTCTGCAGCTGGGCTGAGGTCAGCGACTCCTGGCTGGTCAGCGGCAGTGGAGGGTCATCCACCACATCAGGGACATCCTGGCACAGCTTCTGAGCAGGGGAAAGGAGCCTGGAGCCCTGGCCTCAGTGGCTGGTCTGCCCACAGCAGCCCCACCCTGCCTACCTGTGCTCAGTGCACACCTTAATCAGGTAAGATGTGGGCAGGTAGAGCCTGTGGGCCACCAGGCAGAGGCAGGAGCCCAGGGCCAGCACCAGGTCCCCACTGTTACTGCAGAAGCTCAGGGCCTGAGGGGCACCGTTCAGCTGCAGGAGCCTGGAGGGTTGTTCAGACCGACAGTGTGGCCCTGCTCCTTGGAACAGAACACGGAGGCAGCAGCAGAGGCAAGCCCCCAACCCTCTCCCACCCCCAGCCCACCGCAGCAGGCGGTTCTCCGCGGTCCAGATGCGGATGGTGCCGTCCAGGCTGGAGCAGGCGTACAGCTTGAGTGTGGGACAGCAGCACAGGCCTGGGGGGCCAGGACTCAGGGTCAGGGGCCAGAGCCACCTGGCGGCCTGGACTTCACCTCTGCCCTGCCCGCTCACCGGTGATGTGGTCCGTGGGGTCGTCCTGGGGCCGGTGATCAAAGCGAGGGCTGTTGCCCAGGCCAAACTGCACCAAGCCATAGGTGGCGCTGTTCAGGTCCTCGAAGCCCACGGTGATGCGATTCCCGAGGGCGCAGAGCACCAGCGCCGGGCGGCAGCAGGAGAAGGTGCGTAGGAGGCTCAGGCTCTCCTCGGCATACGGGAAGACGCGCCACATCTTCACGGTCAAGTCTCCCCCTGTGGGGACGGGAGCCACAGTGGGGCCTTTGGGGAGGTAAGGGGTTCCCAGGCCGGCCGTGGAGGGAGGAGAGGTACCCACCGGAGGACACGATGCTGTTCCAGGTGGACGCAATGGCGGTGACGGGGCCTGGGCCGTGCGCCTCCGTACGGAAGACCGTCTTCGAGGAGCGCAACTCAAGTACGGACAGGGTGCCATCAGTGTGCCCCACCACGAGCAGGTACCTATGGGTGACCACAGCCTGTTGGTGTGGACCCGGCCGCCTTGCCCAACCCTGGCTGGCTCCGGCACCCACCGGTTCTTGTCCTTCCAGGCCCCGGCCACGTCACTGCGGCACAGCTCGCCCTTGTACTGGCGCACTATCTCCCAGGCGGCAAACGCGCTCCCGGGGTCCGTGAGATGGCTGTAGAGATGCAGGCAGCAAGGCCGGGGCGCCGGGGGCGGCGGCGGGCACAGGCGGTGCAGCACGCGCATGGGGCAGCGTGCTGCGTTGGCACACAGCAGGTGCCCGGCGCGCGTCATCAGCCACAGCACCTCGCGGGGCAGGCAGTAGGCCACGGCGGCCGCGCAGTCCTCAGGCTCCAGCAGAAGCGCGCTCACGGTGCGTCCGCTGGAGACCGACACCAGGTAGACCGAGCCGTCGGCGCAGGCGCACACGAGGCGCGTGGGCAGCTGCGCTTGCGGGGCCATGGGCGAGGGCAGCGCCGGCGCCACCTGCAGGTGGAGCACCGGCGCCGACAGCTGGGCCAATGGCGAGTAGAGTTCCCGCACGCGCCACAGCTCCACGCTGCGGGCGCGCAAGGCGAGCAAGGGCCAGCCGGGGCCGGCGGGAGCCAGCAGATGCCTCACGGTCTCCGACGGCACGCTCGGGCTCCGGCGGCTCGGCGCCACCTCACCCACCTGCGCCGCTGCCTGCAGGTCCCACGTGCGCAGCGTCCCGTCTTGAGAAGCCGACAGCACAAGGGCCGTGTTCGGGAGCACGGCCACCGCAGTCACCGGGCCTGCGGGAGGGGCTCGGGTCACTCCTGAGCACCAGGGACTGAGGGAAGGGGAGCCGTCGGTCAGGGTCATGACCAGGGCGGAGAAGCTTGGCCAGAAGCCCGTGGAGATCCTGTGCCCGGAGCTCTCAAAGGCAGGGCTGTGCCCAGGGTGAGGGGAGACCAGGCCTCAATAGCCACACACGGCGCACCTGTGTGTCCCACGAACACCATCCGGATCTGCCAGTCAGCCTCCCACACCTTCACCGTGCTGTCCCGGGAAGCTGTCACCATGGCCCCCACCTCTCTACAGTACACCAGGTCGGAGATAGTGCTGAGGGGGGAGAGGGAGGCCCGTGGACTCAGGACTGCTGTGTGTGTGCGCGCGTGCGCACGCGCCGGCACCCCTACCACGACCGGATTTGTGTCGCGGACTCACCTCATGATTTCCCCCTCTCCCACCAGCCCCTGGGCCCCTCCTCACGTTTTGTGCAGATCCCGACGCACATCTGTGACAGCCCAGGTGTGCAGATCAAAGGTGAGCACGGCTGAGCCGTAGGCTGCGCAGCAGCGTGGGACGTGAGGGGGATGCTGAGGCCCGAGAGCCAGACGCGCAAGCGCACCCGAGAGGTTTGGCGGCAGCCACAGAGGGGACCCACGGGGAACCAGGCAGCGACCCCCTGCACGGAACTTCCAGAGCACCAGGCTTCTGCCCGCCTCCGCCACCAGCAGCAGCCCGGCGTCGGGCACCGGCAGGCAGCAGACTGGCTCGCGGCCCGGCACCCTGCGCTCCACTGGCTTACTCTGCCACAGCAGGCTGAGGTCGGACCTTAATATGGCCAACCCCGCTGGGCCCCAGCCCACAAAGCGGCCCACAGTGCCCAGCTCGCCCGGCACTGCCACCAGCCCTGTAAGCGCGACCGGAGCTAGCAGCTTCTCTTGTGCCCAGCCATCCTCTCTGCGCAGGTGCAGGCGGCCGGCACCGTCCAGCACCACGAAGCGTCTGCCCATGGGGTCCTGTGCCACCGAACACAGCCCGGCTGCCACCTCCAGGCGACGCAGCAGCTCTAGCCCGTGCGTCAAGCGCGCCACGTGCAGCTCGGCTCTCTTTTCCTGCGGACCGGGACCAGCAAGCCTGCCGTAAACTTGGCGGGGGCCAGGGGTTGGGGGGCGGGGGTGTAGGCGGCACCCACCTAGGGGAGCCAAGAGGATCTGGGCTGGGGTCCTGCAGGGGACCCCTAGGGGAAGGGCTGGGCCGGAAAGAGGCCTTGAGACGGATGCCACGGGCAAGCCGCACCTTTTCCACCAAAGTCTGGAGGCCTGTGCGCAGGAGCAGCCACAGCTGGCGGGCACGGGCGCTCGGGGTCACATTCTGCCACCGAGAGTTGCTGGTAAAAAGCCGTGGGGCCGCCTCCTTAAACGATGACTCTGCGAACCGGCAGCGGAAGCCCTGTCGGTGTGGCCTTTGGGCCCCTAACCCGGGAGGTCGTGGGCAGCCAAGGCCCCTCCTGAGGGCCCTGCCAGGTTAGGGGACTGCCCGGGGAGTGCTGCATTCCCAGAGGACAGAACCAGAGCTTGAGTGAGGCCTGCGGCCAAGCGGGCCATCTGGGGGTCGAGGCCGGGACACCTCACCGTCCTCTTCGTTGAGCAGGCCCGGGTCCGGGACGTCGTGGAGGTCGGCATCGCACAGGTCCAGGTCTGGAGTCAGGGGGTCGCCTTCCATGGTAAAGGGCTTGCTCGCGCCCCACACTTCTGGCTCCATTTCAGGAGCCGCGGGGTCCAGGCGGCTCAACAGCCCTCTAGGACCGTTGCTAGGATACCGGACGCAGCAGGCCCCGCCCTCGACGCAGGCCCCGCCCCCACGCCTCATGAGCCTCCGTGCGCACTGAGTCACAGAAACTTTTATTGGAAGCAAACCAGCTGCAGCGAAGTGACACTCAGTGCACGCTGCCCGATGGGCAAGGTGGGGAGTACAAGTGGGCGGATGACCCCTGGGGACCGCCTGCTGGGTCTCCGGCCCTTTGGGCTGGAGTGTGCAGGTCCAGGCCTGACCTTGCACAAAATACAAAAATAAACTCTGTGGTCCAGCTGTCCCTGCCCGTGTCAGTTCGTTTGGGCGGGGCAGTGGCTCTTCCCACCAGGCCCTGTGCCGTTGCTGTCCAGTCCAGCCACAGCGTGGGCAGCGGGAGCCTGTGGGGCTGAGGGGACATCCACAGGCTACAGCCAAAGGGCTAGGCAGGTGTGGCCTGGAGTGGCGCTGGTGCTGTGGTAGCGCCAGGATCTGGCCAGCAGCTGTGGAGGCCCTGCGGCCCCTCAGGTGGGCAGGTCCAGGCACTGTTTGAAGCTGGGTGAAGCGAGGGCCTCTGTTCCTCCTCTTCACATACAGATCACCGGAACCCTGGGCAACGGGCGGCACACAGTGAGTTCTGAGGAGCCCACACTCAGGAGACCAGGCAGAGGGGGCCCCACCCTGCCCTGCACACCCCAGGCTGAAGGGAGGGAGGCCACTGCAACCGTCACGCACCTGTCCTCTTCCATGGTGCTGGTCTCCTCGTGGCCGCCCTCGCGGCCTCCACCTCCACTCTCCTCCTCCTCCTCTCCCCCGAGCTCCATGTCCAGCTCATTGCCTGCCTCCGACGGAGTGTAGGTGGATCCACTGGGGGTGGGGGGACCAGTCTTAAAACCGCCTACCCCCAGCCTGCTGCTAACCCCAGGGAGGGTGTCTGGGGAGGACAAAGTTAGGAATGGGGTGGGCCAGGCTGGGGAAACGGTGTGTGAGCCAAACAGGGAGGTAAAGGAAGGGAGGTGGACAGGTGCCAGCCAACCTGATAGAGCGGCAGCTGAAGAACACGATCCGTTTCAGCCGCTTGTTGTAGAAGAAGTAGTTGAAGGACCAGAGGCTGCCATCTTCCCCGAAGGGATCTGAGTCCAGGTCTGGGTTGTAGCTGGGGCGTGTGGGGCGAGATGTGGTGTTAGGTCCCAAGTGCCACCCGCCCAGGACCCACCTGCAGGGACGCCAGCTCACCTGTAGATGTCGCACTCAGCCAAGCAGATCTCCTCATCCACCGCGTTCCACAGCTGCGGCTTCAGGGCCTTGAAGTCCTCCCGAACAGCGGAGAACAGGCTGCAGTTGACTGCGTTCACCACCTAGGATGGTCACAGTCAGGGCTGACGAGGACCCAGGGCAGCAGGCGTGAACCGGGCCGAGCCCCAGTGAGTTAGGGAGGAAGCCAAGGATGGCTGTGGGCCTACAGGTCCCTTCCCCGACCCGACCCTCACCCAGCTGAGGCTGGGCTCCCGGCTGAACTCGTGGCTCCGGGCTCTGCTGAAGTCGTAGTCCGGCCGGAAGGACTCGTTGAGCGTGGCGATCAGGTAGAAGAGGGTCTTGCGGCTGCACTTGTCGCTGAGGGGGCCCTCATCCTCGCCACCCTGGCTCTTACTCAGTCTGCACAGAGAGAAGCGTCAGCCTGGCACTGCCCCGCTTGCCAGTGCACAGTGGGCAGGCCCTGCCCGGCTCACCTGCTGGGGCTGAGGCCCGAGGTCTGGGGTGGGGACAGCGCCTCCAGCACATGTGGCTGGCCCTCCTGGCAGAACTGCTTGAACATGTGCTTGTCATCGCCCGCCATCTTACACGAGTAGCTCTCAATCCTAGAGACGCAGGCACAACCATGAAGCACGCCACCCCCGCAGGCTCAACCCAGAGACAGGGCAGAGTGACCTCTGAGACGCCAGCCCCAGAGCCCCGGCCTCACCTGCCAATGATGTGGGCATCTCCCGTCTCCACGGTCAGCTGCGAGTTGATGGCCTCGAAGCTGGAGTTCTCCAACAGCTTCATGTCCTCGGGGAGGAGGTCCTGTGCTCCAAAGGGCTACTGCTGCCTGAGGATGCAGGTCAGTCCATGGGTGTCTGGCCCTTGGGGCTCCACCTTCAGCCCTCCTCCCAGTAAGTGGCGCCGCTGTAAACAACTTGGGTCCCTCCTGCAGCCTGCTCCCAGGCCTTCAGCACTGGCGGGAGAGGTGATGAGAGCGGCACGTCCAGGCCCCAGATCAGCCACACCTCTTGCACCTCACAGGAGTTCTTGGGCCAGGCTGGGGGACCCACCGGGGATCCTGCTAACCCCGGGGCTGCTGGGTTAGTCTCTCCCTCAACAGCCCCCATCCCGACACAAGAGCCCTACCCACCAAGGGGGGCCCTGCGAGCCCGCGAAGGGACGTGACTCCTGCGGTGCCCCTCCGGCCGGGATCCTCAGCCCGGGTAAGAACCGCACCCAGTTAGGAACCAGATCACCTGGGGCTCGGCCCTGCCGTCACCTGGACGCGGCGCTCTTTCCTGTTCTACAGGCTGCTTTCTAGTGAGCTCCTCCGTTTTTCTCCGAAAGTACGACAGGGAGCGGAGGGAGGCCCCGCGGCCCCCGGAGGGCCTGTCAGCCGGGCAGCTAGGGCGCTACAGCGTCTGCCGGGTCTAAGGGGAACCCCAGCCAAGCCGCGCGAACTACAAGTCCCAGGAAGCCGTGCGCCTTGGGAGGCGCGCGTGCGCTCCAGCGCGAAGCCTGCTGGGGGCTGTAGTTCTGGAGGGCCCGAGTCGGCGCCGGGCACAGGGCGTACCCCTACCTGCTTACTCTGCGCTCAATCGGGCCGGACCGGACCAGGCAGGGTCAGGTCGATTGGCGTCGGTGCGGGTGAGAAGGCGGTGCGGGCCCCGGGTAGCGCGGACGCCTCAGGACCGGAGTGCGGCGCCGCGGCCTCCGCTCGGGCCGCACTGTATCCGGGGAAAGAAGCTCCGCAGCGACGTCCCGTTACTCCCGGCCCCGCCGGCCCATCCGAGCTGCCACCGCGACATAGCCTCGCCCGTGCACGGCGCCCGACTATCGCGACCGACCTGCCCGCCGACCGCCACAGAAGGCCCGAGCAAGCGAGCGAACGACCTCTACCTCCCCGGGCCGGACAACAACAAGCGTCCGCCAGGCCCGGCCCCACGCGTCTGAATGGCCCGCTCCAGACGCCGGGACCGGGAGCTCGCAGAGCCATTGGGGGCAGTACCCGCCGCTCAGTCCCGTCTTCCACTCCTACTGGCTGTGGCGCATGTCCGTCATCTTCTCGGCCGTGCGAACCCGCCTTCCTCCCTGGCGCTCATTGGTCGCGGCCCCTCGCCGGCTCCGCCCCGGGTGCTGTAGGTGTGGGCGAGAGGGGGCAACTGAGTGTTCGGTGGGCGGCGAGAGGCGGGCGGCGGCCCAGAAGGAGCCTAGGAGCGCGTCCGGCTCCCGCCAGACGCGGGGGTCGACAGGGCCGCCGGGCTGCAGCCCCCAGCCGAGCCTCCAGGGCCTTCCAGTTGTGGCAGGTGCTTCAGTCCCTGACGCTTTGCCCAGAATACAGGCCTCCAAGCCCAGCCTCGCCCGCCGGAGTCCGAAGACCCTCTGGCCATGTCCATCGTGGGCGAAGCGGGAGGGTCAGACGGCTCCAACGCTCGGGCGGCGCCCGGAACCCCGGGCTCGCGGTCCCAGTTTCCGGCCGGTGGAGGCGCTCAGCGGCCCGAGGCCACGGAAGCGGGCTCGTGGGGCCGGGCCGGGACCGGACCGGAGATGGCGCCGCCGGCGGACGGCGCGGCTGCGGCCTCCGACGCTGGCTCGGCTGCGGTGCTCCTGGCCGTGCACGCCGCGGTGAGGCCGCTGGGCGCGGGGCCGGACGCAGAGGCGCAGCTGCGGAGGCTGCAGCTGAGCGCGGACCCCGAGCGACCAGGGCGCTTCCGGCTGGAGCTGCTTGGCGCGGGGCCCGGGGCGGTGAGTGGGGGCGGCGGGGGCTGGCCGCTGAACCCGAGGCCATGCCCTTCCATTCGGCAGCTGCGTGCTCTTGAGCAGTTACCTTTTCTTTGCTTCTGTTTCCTTGTGTGTTAAATGGGGATAATGCTGGTACCTCCCTTCGTAGGATTAGCGTGAGAGTTTCATAAGGTAATACGTGTAAAGGGCTTAGGACAGTGAAAGTGGCCTGCAAATGTTACCTCGTGTTCCTTTGATCATCATGCAGTATGTGCTGGGGGAGGCACTGAGCCCGGACTCTCCCCCTCCTCAGGTCAGTTTGGAGTGGCCCTTGGAGTCCGTCTCCTACACCGTCCGAGGCCCCAGCCAGCATGAGCTGCAGCCTCCACCAGGAGGGCCTGGGACTCTCAGCCTGCACTTCGCCAACCCTCAGGAAGCTCGGCGGTGGGCAGCCCTGGTCCGAGGTGCCACCGTGGAAGGACAGAATGGTCAGTGCCCTGGAGTGAAGATTCACTGGGACCGGGATAGTGTTAGTTCTGCAAGAGAACAGGAGTAGCCCCGACCCCCCAGGTCTTGTTGGGGGGAGTAGTGGGGAAAGCTGAGCCCACCTTACCCACTGCTGGGGTTCTGGGAGGACTCCCAGGAGGGAGGAAGTAGAGAAAAGGAACAGAGACCGAAGAGCTGGAGCCTGGAGTGCCAGACAATGTGGAGGGGCAGAGCACGCAGGCCCTCAGGACCTGGGTGAGAAGACGGACTATATGAAAAGCTTTGGGAAGGTATTCAGTGGGAGAGTGACAGGCTCAGATTCGAGCTACTTAAGACTTGTTGAGACCTGCATTCGTGTGAGTGGTGCAGATAGGGCCGGAGAGAAGAAGGATGTTTCAGAGATGCTTAGGAGATGGAATTGGCTGGATTTCCTTGAGGTTTAAATGGAAGAGTGAGTGGTTGAGACAGAAAGCTGCAAGGAACAGACACTGGGGAGCTCCCAGATAGAGGACCTTTTTGGGAGGGCACAGAGGTGGTCAAGTTCTTAAACATGTGGGAGGGAAGGTAGATGGGTGGATCTGGACTGGGGCTGGGGCTCTAAAGAGGTAAAGGTTGGGGGTAGAAAAGGTCAACCAAGGTCAC